ATCAGTCGAGCAAGTCTCGTCCTAACTATTGACGCCTTAGCACTAACGAGTTGGTTGAAATTCCATACAGCATCAAGCATTACGCCGAGGTAACAGCTGTGAGGTTTTGACGTGATCTCTAGATTTCCTATCTTCAGCTTAATGGTCGCTATTGTTTTTCTACTCGTGATAAGAACTGCTTCACGTTTTGTTGTGCTAATTGGAGGTTCATTATTTCCATCCAACGATTAATTCTTCTAAATGTTATATTAAATAAACTTACGATCTCATCAAATTGTTTAGAGATAACTACTATGGCAACATCGTTTGCATGTGCTACTAGTTTCACACATGCTGGAATCTCAAGTCACAAAAATCCATCATACATAATATTCTACAGCAAAGGGCCTAGAACAGAGCCCTGCGACACACCTCCTGTTATATTATATTCGTCTGTACCATCGCGTGAATAGTACATTAGAATTCTGTCTGTAAAGTAGCTCGCGACTATATTGCAGAGGTATACTGGCACGTTCTTGTTACGGAGAGCTTTCATAATGCAATCCCAGTTTGCAGAATTGAAAGCATTTTTATATCCAATGTAGCTACAAGACAGTACTTCTTCGCACCCCCCTTCCATCTGGTTCCAGCAATTGCTTCCTTGGCGGTATTAACTACCAAGTTAATCGTAATACCAAGTAAGTTGATAGTTGAAAGCCCTTTGCGAAAACTATACTGATTGTCTGCTAGGATTGGGTCAACCACTGCATCTATTTTTTGGTAAATTATTATTTCAAAAAATTTACCCGCTGTATCCAGTATGCATATCGGACGGTAAGATGATGATTCATATGGTGTTTTTTTTCCTTTGGGATGAAGCACTAATATTGCTGTTTCCATTTTCGTGGAAACCCTCCTTGTTTTGTATAAGCATGTATTTTAGGCATTAAGAAACATTGTCGGAGATGTCATAATTGATGTTTTTAAGGCGATATTAGAAATTCTATCTAATCCCGGTGTCTTACTATTGCCAACCCGATGACAAGCTTCCTGGTAGTTTAAATTAGGTTGTCGTGGAAATAAAGTAGGTACTATTTTATTCAATATTTGTGGGCAAGTTGGTAAAGGCATTGGCTGGCTTTTGAGGCGAGACATTACAATCTTATAAGGCCTTCCCCATGGATTTTTCTCGACTCCATCCAGAAGTTCTTTACAGCACCTAACTTTACTATCTTTGATAGCTTTATTTAGTTGCCGACGTGCCTGTTTGTATTCCACTACTAGTTGTGCAGAATTTGTGAGGCTATATCTTCGCTGAGAGATCCTTCTTTTCTTGTGGCACTCTTTACGAAGAGAGGTGATTTCTTCAGTCCACCAGTGCACAGATTGTCTTTGATTTATGCCATGCTTACGAATCATACTGATATCACAGGCTTCGGTTATTCTCTCCATCAACTCTCTAGTATGCTCATCTGCGTATTCTGAAATTATAGGTTTGCAATTTAAGACGACGCTCGGGAAAAGTGTTGATTTGTCTTTGGCAAAGGTCCAGCCGTTTCGGAGATATCGAGTTAAATGTGCAAAAAATGGCAGTTTTTGTAAGAAATAATCATCCGATTTGAATTATTCAAAAAACTCTCTATTTGTGTTCACGAAACGATTGCTTCTAGGAAAACAAACATTTTATTTTTTTTTTTTTAATTTCCAAAAAAAAATTTTTTTGAATATCGAAAATAATTCGGATTTTAATCTTATTTCTGGCTAAAGTTCTAAAGCTCGCTAATATACTTAAAATAAATAATTTTAACTTTGCAATTCAGTTTATTTAATTCTTATAAATATTAGACAAATTTTCATTTTAAATTCGATTGGTTAAGATATGTTTAATTAGTTTTCTGTAAACATATATAAGTTACACTATTTGAAAATATAATAAAATATTTCATTGCGGTGCGGAAAGTTTCAGCAATTTGCCTTAAGGCACGATGCCATTCACTACTAGCGCGTAATCGCTGCGTCGCCGTCTAACGGATAAACGATGTTACGGAACCCATAGAAATGTAAACAAAATTGATACACATTAGTAAAGCCTCCATAAAATCTGATAATTTGAAGTGCATATGTCTAATATGGAAGGCAACGAAGAGATTAAAAAGGCACCTCCAGTGCGTCAACTTGATGGTTCCTGGGCAAGAAGTTCAGAAGAAAAATCGGAAGAATTTTTAGAACACTTGAAAAATACATTTCAGCCTCATCGCCGCAGTTGCAACGGAAATGATGAAAGATCCTCATTTATTGTCTTCCTATAGACCAATAAGCCTACTTCCTTGTATTTCGGAGGTATTTGAAAAATTATTACTCCAACGCATTAAGTCAGAATTGTTGAATCAAAACCTAATTCCAAATCACCAATTTGGCTTTAGAGAACAACACTCAACCATAGAACAGGTTCATCGCCTAGTAAATATAATTAACGAATCGTTCCATGCAAAAAAATATTGTTTGGCTGTATTTTTAGACGTTGCGCAAGCATTTGACAAAGTATGGCACACTGGTTTGTTGTACAAACTAAAACTCTGTTTATCAGAACCGATATTTTTAATAATAAAATCGTTCCTTGAAAATAGGGAGTTTTTCGTCAGCATTAACGACGAAGAGTCGACCAAAAGAAAGATCCTCTCTGGGGTGCCTCAGGGAAGCGTCCTTTCTCCAACTCTATTTCTTATATTCACAGCGGATTTTTCTTTATACTCCGGAACAAGCGTGTCGACATTTGCTGACGATACAAGTATCATTGCCTCCAATAAAGATCCCGCAATAGCTTCGCAACTATTACAAGAACATCTAGATATTGCTACAAAATGGCTTTTTTTATGGAGAATTATGACAAACGGCTCAAAATCTACGCATATCACTTTCACGCTGCGTACTGGTATATGCCCTACAATTAAGTTAAATGGACAGGAAATTCCAGTAAAAGATAGCGTAAAATATCTCGGAATACACCTAGACAAAAAATTGAAGTGGAGAGTTCACATTAACAAGAAAAAAAAGCAGATTGATGAACTATTTAAAAAACATTACTGGCTACTGAATAAACGTTCCGAACTGTCGACAAACAACAAACTAATTATTTACAAATGTATTTTTAAACCAGTGTGGTTTGAACTTGGGATTCAACTATGAGGCACCGCCAAAAAAAAAACAATCTACAGATTATTCAGCAGAATGCAGTGCAGAACAAGATCATACGGCAGGCACTGAACGCACCTAGGTACGTTCCCAACTGGTTGATTCACCAGGACAGCAACATGATGACAGTAAATGAAGAAATTTAACAAAAAACAAACAACTACAAAAGAAGAATAGAAAAATACCCAAATTACTTGGCACACAAAGTATTCTCAGAAGCGCGCCCAACAAGACTAAAACGAAAATTTTCCAATGATCTCATAAATTTGTGAACGCTAACATTATTATTATTATTATTATTATTGTTATTATTATCTTACTATTTCTATTATTATTATTTTGTTATTTTTCTAGTATTATTTTATTATTCAGAAATTTTATTTATATTATTTATTAATTTTATTTTTATTATTATTTGCTTATATTTTATATCAAATCATATTACGGATATTATTTTCATGTAAATTTTATCCTTTGCACTTTTATTTATTTAAATTTATGTTATTATTTAACAATATTACTAGATGTTAATAATTTAACAGTTGTAATACTTATTGAAATTAAAAAAAAAAAATGACCGCCAAATGGAATTTTTTTACTTTTATTACTAGATCCCCGAAACTGCTAGACCTGCTTTCCCTAAAAATTAATCAGTTCTCCATCTTCTCAATACAAGTAGTTTTTTTTTATTTATTAAAATCGAACGCTCCGTTCTCTCAAAAACTGAGTAACCGTTTTTGGCACTTTTTGTCCCGTATCTTCGGAACGACTAGATTTGCCTTTGCCAAAAACTAATCAGCACGTCTCCTTACCAATACGAATCGAATGTTTTTCAATTATTCAAATATTCCCGAAATTGTCGACGAAAATCTATATCGGCACACACATACACACACACACATACAGAACGGCCGTGTTACCGAAGGGTTTACTGTATATATGTACAGTCAACCCTTCGTTAACACGGCACTCTGGGTGCACGGTTCCCATACTACGCAGAGCTAAAAATCTTTCTATTAAACGGTTTTTGTTCAACAGCCCATAAGTTCATTGCGCAACCTATGAGTGATTCTATGAACGTGATATCATAAGGATATTAATGTAAGTTTTGTTATCGACTTTCATCTTTTAGATATGCCTGATTATATAATAGTTTTCTAAGAACACGTTTGAACTGATTACTGCCTCGCGCCAATTTTTAAATAAGGTATCTATATCATTTTGTCCGTACTACTTCCACTTCAAGTTGTATTTCTTGGTCTCCATACAGCGCTATAAAAATGGTGCGATTTGTACTAACTCTGAGTCTCTCATAGCACGGTTCCTATCATAGATAAATAAGCATAAATAAAGGTTCCCATACTGCGCTGCAGTGGCGTCGGAACCAAATTTTTGATGGGTGGGCCCGTTTTTTGAGAGATATTAGCCCATATAATTTTTTGAAATTGATGAGTGGGCTGAGCCCCCCCCCCCATCAAAATTCATGGGTGGGCTCAAGCCCACACAGCCCACACGGTTCCGACGCCACTGCTGCGCTATATAAGTATCCATAGAACGCACCATGAACGCACGAACGCACTGCGAATTAGTTTGAATTGTATGTTATTATGTTAAATACAAGTTTTTTTATAGCACAGTCCCCATACTGCACGGTACGCACTTGCCGCGTTAAACGAGGTTTGACTGTATATAAATTACGTGCGGCCCGCCATAAAATTTCAAAATTAAAATTGACCCGTGGGTTAAAAAGGTTGATCGCCCTTGATTTATGTCAATTATGTTGCTAACTTCACGTCAGGAATCTGTCACGTTTGACCTTGAATCATTTTTGCACTACGTGTATTAAAATTTATGCATTATTCATAAGGTTATAATTTTACAGCCTGAAACATGTTTTCAAAATTATTAATACTGACACGTGTAATATTATGTATTAGTGGACAACAGTTTGGTTTCCCTGAAAGTGTTGAAGACAATACCAATAGAGATGTAAATAATATAGAAATTAAAAATGGGGTGGTGATCTGAAACATTGGTGAATTTGCATGAAAATTTAAAGTTTATAGCATGCTGTGAAGATAACATAAAAGTAATTTGTTTATATATTATTAACTCATATTATTAATACTCTATAACATTGTTAATATTTAAATTATTAAAGAAGACTATTTTGAATTAATTTACACACTCCTGAATTATTTATTTCAAGAAACAATAGCATGAATAATAAATTAATTGTTACTTCTAATATTCATTTACATCAACATTTTAATTTATTACACAATCTCACATTTTATTAATCATGTAAGACATGCATATATATTGGTATGTAATTTATATTAGTTTAACCCTGAAAAATAGTGAATTATCATGTACTTTTTTCCTATGATATTTCAAAAATATCTAGTTGTAAACTTGTAATTTGTCCAAGATAGAAGTTTAGGATTAATAGAAAACCATCATGAATCATTTTAGAATCGATCTGCTCTTTATATTCCTGGTCGATGCAAAGAAAATGAACTCTTGTATCCAGGAGACCAAAAAGATGATTGGATTTGTGATTGTGGAGCAGGTAAACTTTTATTTTATCAAAATTTACATCAGTTTAACTTGTTATAAAATGAAATTATTATGTCATTACATAATGGTGTTCTCTGTTTAGAATACAGTTTGCGTTGATATACATGTGTGCAAATAATGTTTGTTTTTAATTAAGATTTATGAAATTTGAAATATAAAAAACGTGTATGCTCTTTGGGCCAATATTGCCTTGATGGCATAATAACAACATTGAGGTTATTCTGAATTTATCTGAAGAAAATTGATTATATTTAGCTCTGATGGAAATATGTTATAAACTAGTTTATAAGTAAACCATGTAGATTTGATACAAAATATTAGTGCACTAAGTTATCTATTATAGTTCAATTAATAGCATTTTCCAGACAATTAATAATAGTATTTCTCACAGTACTTACTTAACAATTTAATTACAGGCACAATTTACCACCCGCAGACTGACAAGTGCTACCCTATATACCGCCGTGGACCTTGCAGAGAGGGACAACATTTAATTCTTCCTAAGGGCAAAGCTATACCTCAATGCGAGACAAATCCATGCAATGAAAACTCTGCTTTATACCGAGGAATATGCCAGTCATTTGGTACAATTGGTACATGCAGGGTACCCGAACTTGGTAGAGTTATAGGGGTAAATACACTGACATTAGAGGTTGATTGTGTAGGTCCCAAATTAGCAAACAGATTAGGCGAAACTGATATAGAAGTTGAAGAAGGCATTTGCAAAGGATCAAAGAGGTTTTATAGGGGAACATGTGTTGCTTATTAGAATTTTTAAGAGAAATATAATTTTCCAACTCTTTATCGAGAATTTTAAAAAGAGCACAAACCTAATCTTAATCCAATTGTTCACACCAAAGTTGGGTTTAGTTATATCACAATCAAATTGAATTTTCCTTCATTGAATAATTTTTTCTCTGTTCCACATGCTTTATAGAATGTAATGATCTAAATAAAATATTGACTGAAATAGTTAAAATTATGTAACTATTATATGCTCTTCTAAATTTACTATTCAAACTTTTTATTTTAATCACGTGACATTTATGTTTTGAAGCATATTTATTAATATACTAATATAATACATAATACAATATAATAAAACATTAATCACTTTAGCTGATTGTATTTTTATGCATTATTTTATTTATGGTCGTTAAGTCATTCTGGCTTAGATTGTTTTTCTCCACATATTAGTATTCTGTATAAGCAAATTCACTTAATTCATAATTAATACTGTTTTAAAGTAATACTCATCAATTCAAAATATTTTGTATAGCAATTTTTGCGAGTGATAGACTTATAAAAATGGTGAATTAATGACATCGTTATCTATAATATATGATTTCTAGTAAATTGTATGAAATTCTGCTTCTGTGTAAAATTATATAGTTGAATTGAGTTGTGCTTTTGAATAAATTTTTCGGGTATTTTAGCTTTATGTATGGTTGTTGTGTACATTTTTTAGAAAAATAAATATAAGAATTGTTTAATGATTTTGAATCATTTATACTAGGATTACTAAATACGAAATTATATTTAAAAAAAAGTTGCAAGTATCAACACTACTACTTATTCATAGACTTATGAATTACTTACTTAAACTGCACAGGTAAACAAAATAAAAAAATGTTGTTTGTATAGTAAACCCTCGCTTTACGCGGCAAGTGCGTACCGTGCAGTATAGGAACTGTGCTATAAGAAACTCGTATTTAACATACAATTCAGGCTAATTCGTAGTGCGTTCTATGGAACCTTACATAGTGCAGTATGGGAACCGTGTTATGAGAGACTCAGAGTTGGTACAAATCGCACCATTTTTATCGCGTTGTATGGAGACCAAGAAATACAACTTGAAGTAGGAGAAATACGGACGAAATGACGTGTAGGACATTGACACCTTATTCAAAAATTGGCGCGACGCAGTAATCAGCTCGAACGTGTTCTTAGGCAGCTATTATACAATCAGGCATGTCTAAAAGATAAAAGTCGATAACAAAATTTACAACAATACCCATTTGCACAACGAACTTATGGGCTGTTGACCAAATACCGTGTAATAAGAAGTCCGTGTAGTCGGAGGGATGTCGGATTTTTAGCTCCGTGTAGTATGGGAACCGTGTACCAAGAGTGCCGTGTAAAGCGAGGGCCTACTGTATTGGGTGTGCAACATGTTTTCCAATGTACTCAAAACAAATCTAATGTAAAAAATTGTGGATCAAACAGCACAAACATATATACATAAATATTATATATATATATATATATATATATATATATATATACTGCACTCTGGGTACACGGTTCCCATACTACACGGAGCTAAAAATCCGACATCCCTCCGACTACACGGACTTCTTATTACGCGGTATTTGGTCAACAGCCCATAAGTTCGTTGTGCAAAAGGGTATTGTTGTAAATTTTGTTATCGACTTTTATCTTTTAGACATGCCTGATTGTATAATAGCCGCCTAAGAACACGTTTGAGCTGATTACTGCGTCGCGCCAATTTTTGAATAAGGTGTCAATTTCGTCACGTCATTTACGTCATTTCGTCCGTATTTCTCCTACTTCAAGTTGTATTTCTTGGTCTCCATACAACGCGATAAAAATGGTGCGATTTGTACCAACTCTGAGTCTCTCATAACACGGTTCCCATACTGCACTATGTAAGGTTCCATAGAACGCACTACGAATTAGCCTGAATTGTATGTTAAATACGAGTTTCTTATAGCACGGTTCCTATACTGCACGGTACGCACTTGCCGCGTAAAGCGAGGGTTTACTGTATATATATATATATACAGGGCCGGTCCTGCCTTGCATGCGATGCAAAAAATGCAGGCGCACGCCAAAACGAGTTCCGGAAATTAAATTTATATTATTTATATTTTTTATTATTTATATAAAATCTAGAATACTTGATAAATTATAATGAGCACTCTAACTGAACTATAGATACGGAGACTGCAATGTGATATTAGTAGAAACAATTAACCTATTAATTACTCTGCAAATGAGTAAATAACAACTCTGTTTATTGCTTAATCTACTTATTGAATTTTTTCTTTGTTTGAAGTTACCGTGGAATCGAAAAAGAAATTAACTAGTGTTCAATTCCATAAGCGCAAACCTGCGAAAGATTAAATTAACTATTGGGCATTATTGACGAAAAATTATGAGCTGATTTTGTTGAAACAGAACTTGTTAAAAAATATAAATAAATTATAATCGGAAAAATGAAAAATGGGGAGTCATTTCTTAAAAAATGGCATGTTTATTCCGAAAATTGAATTGTAACTTTTGTTTTTGTTGCAAATGTTTCGCATCTGATGAACTTTGAATGTTAAAGACATGCGTGGTTAGAGTTATGGAAATGAAACAAATATGAAAAATGAAAGCAAAATTTACTTTGGAACGAATATCTTAAGGCTTTTTTTATACCTTGTGGTGTCCATACTCTAAACTTAATAATTATTAACTCTGCAGAAATAATACATATCAAATATAATTAGTTTTTTGTCAAGATAGTTCAAGAAATGAGTAATTTCTTTGAATTTTTTACTCATTTTTGGACAATACTTCTAAAATAAAAAAAATAATAATAAAATTTAACTTTAAAACAACAATCTGATAATCTGAATATAACGAGAAAGCAAGGATGAACACAATTCGGCTCCTACGATATCAATAAGGAGAAGTTTACGACGCAATTTTGGATATTGTGAAAAATAAAAAGAAAAAAAGTTGCATGCAGGCGCAAAGGATCCCAGGACCGGCCCTGTATATATATATATATATATATATATATATATATATATATGTTTTGTAGAGCTTTGAACAAAAAATCCAAAAAGTAATAAAAAACTAGCTGTAAGTGGAATTCTGTCTTAAGGCAATTAAGGCGTCGTGCCTTAAGGCAAATTGCAGGAACTTCCCGTACCAAAAATTATTATTTTTTTAAAAACGATTAACATTTTTGAAAAAAATTTACTTCGAAAAAATTAGATTTTTGAGAAACTATAAATTTGACAAAAATTTACTTTTTTTTTGAAAAAAGAATTTTTTTTTGAAAACAAAATTTTTTTGAAAAGAACAATGTTTTCTTCATTTTGACATATTTTGGAAATTCTAAACTTTTTTTCAAAGCAATCGTACTGCTTGAACTGCATAGAGACGAAATGTCAAAGCGCGCGCAAGTGCCGCGCCGCCGTCTGACGCATAAGCATTGGTACGGAATGTTAAAAAAATTATACTTATTGTTAAAATCTCTATAAAATATCGGATAATTTGATGTGCATATGTCTAATGATCATTTTTAACCGCCGAATAGCATTTTTTTTTACTTTTTTCATCAGATCTCCGAAACCACTAGACCTTGATCAATTTGTCATCTTGTCAATACAAGTGAAATGTTTTTTGAATTATTCAAATCGGACGCTCCGTGCTCTTAAAAACTGAGTTACCGTTTTCGGCACTTTTTGCCCCGTATCTTCGGAACGGCTAGACTAGCCTTCGCCAAAAACTAATCAGCACGTCTCCTTATCAATACGAATCGAATGTTTTTTGAATTATTCAAATCGGTTGATCCGTGTTCCCGAAATCGTCGACGAAAATTTGTATCCGCACACACATACATACACGCACACACACACACACACACATGCATCCATTTTTTCTAAGGTATGCCAAAATATTCAGAAACCTCTGAAACGTAAAGACATATAAAAATTTTCATTTTCGATTTTTTTGCGATTACTATAACTTGCCCTACGGGAAGTTAATAAAAAAGTTTTTTAAAAAAACATTTATTTATTTACTGTCGAAATTTCGGAACTGGATTCGTTCCATCTTCAGGACATCTGTCAAGAAACATGATCTTGATTTTGCTTACTTGCAGCCAAATGGTCGAAATAAAACACAACTAATGGTGCCTGCCAGGGCCGGTCCTGGGGTCCTCAGCGCCCGCATGCCATTGTTTTTCTAGCGCCCCCCCCCCATTTATTTTAACTGTTTTAAAAGTTCATCATTAAAATTATACAAAAATTTAAGCAATCATCATTAATTTTTTAAAACACTTTTTAATAATTCTGTATTTAGTACACAAAACATTAGATATATGTAAACTAAAAGCGCAAAAATACATTGATTTTGAAATTATTCAGAAGGTCGAGGCAATTCGCGGGTCTTAAAAGTTCAATTATTTCCAAAGCATGCGTATTATTAATATTTGGGTTTTAAAACATTTTATTTATTTATTTTGAGGATTTTATGCAATTTATTCTATTGAGATTAAAAAAATTGTAGCCTTTCATTATTAAATATAGTACTGGTACTTCATATTGGATTATTTTAATTTAATTTTTCATTATTTAAAATATCCAAAATTGCATCGTAAACTTCTAATTGATATCGTAAGGGACGAATTGTATGTATTCATCTTTACTTTCCCATTTGCTGTTTTAAAGTGAAATTTTTAACGTATTTTAAAAAATATTATCCATAGATTAGCAAAATGCAAGGAAAGTATATATTTCTTAAATAATATTGAAAAAACTATATTATAAATTTCATATCCAAATCTCGTTTTGGCGCCCCCTAAGGCGTGCGCCCGCATTTTTTGCATGCATTGCATTCAAGGTAGGACTAGTGTTAGAAGTATCGAGGCAAAAGATCGATATTGAGTACTTTGAAAAGTATCTAATCAAAATGTCGATGCCAAAAAAAATATCGTGGCGAAAGTATCGATAGTACTCATTATCGAATTTTGAGTACTTTTCATAAAAATCAAACATAAGTGCAACAAAGATCTGAAACTAATTAAATATCATTTCACAATATTAGAATGAATTCTATTGCTTGTATCTGATGTGTTAAATCAGAATCATTTTCAATATTGTAAAATTTTAACAGTAATTTT